CCCGACTTTACCAGTCACCACACCGTAAGTCCCCGAAATGACACATGAATGTGTTACATCAAACCAAAGTTATTGCGCACTATGAACAAAATGCATTCACTGAAGATAGAATTTCTGTCTCTAGTAGCCAAGTCTACCAACGCGTAGGTTATAAGGCTAATGAAATTGGCCGTTAAATGATAAAGTTCAAAAGTAGGATCCAAGTTATATCGTGTCATTGGTCAGTTCAATAATTGGCCGGATATTGTTAATCGTGGAAGATGCGAATCACCTCTCAATAAACAGGTGGTCGCAGGTTTTATTTTATTACCTACTGCACGTGTAGAATAAAAACACAAGCAATCGCTGTTACACAACCTGAAAATATTGTAACTGTACATGAGTTACGCGCAGTTAACCCTTTACTGGCTTTACGGAATTATTTGAAACCTTGTTATAACTTGGTCGTAGGTTGTTAGGTACTTTTAGTAACTTGGCGTTTATCAATTTACCTAATGTAAAATCTACAAGTAACTAATGAATGTTCTAGAAAAGAGAAACAAAAGCTTTGGAATGGAATTGAAAATTTGACAGTCGAGTAAGAAGCTCTATCTCTGCCGTGTCCGTAAACTTGTTGCCTGTACCTATCTGAAGGTTATGTAGGTAGACACATGTAAGTAATCTTTACAAGTGATACGTTTGCATCATGTGGATAATGTCAACACAAAGGAATATATTCCATGCTGTGGTCTTGCTCTGTGGACGCATCACTACTCCTACATAGATAATGTATTGGCGTTACACATAAATAGGCGTGTCAAAGTAGGTGTGATATTGTCTATGTGTGTGTTGTCGGTGCGAGTAGATAATTTATCGAGTAGTGAGCACCGCTTGCCTGCCGCTACGCAGCAAGTTGGCTGGCGTGCTGAGGTGGGTCGCACTTTATATGGAGAGTTGTCTAATCCGCTGAATAAATTACCATTGGGCCTAGGTTTCTCCTGAATGACTAATGGACATTTAAAGAATTAGCTCAATGCGCATGCCATACGCTTTCCAATTTCTACCTATGTAAATAGCGACACACGAGTTAAATATTATTATAGCTAAGATGTTTTCCGTCGGGAATAGATATGTTGACCATGTACAAATGTAGATATATTTATTTTGTAATGGAGAAGTTTTCTATTCTACTTTTTAAGGTTATAGTTATAATCCATAGTATAACAGGTACCTAGCTAATTAGAGAGGTTTCACAGTTATTAAGCACTTTCAGATCAAGGTTTACCCTCATTGATTATGTAGCTAGGTAGATATTGGTTACTTAGGTATACATACTGATAATGAATTGTTTCGGTGCCTGCTCACATCATAGGCGCACCCATTAGTCAAAGACAGATTTGATTGATGTTTAACAACTTCCAAGCTTGTAGTTGGTAGTACGAGTAGATTACAACATGATGAACATTGAACATATATTGTTGCGTGCTGTAAATGGTATGACGTACCTACGTACATTCGTAACTATGTAGCTTATACGATAGGAAACAAAAGATTAAGCCGTAAGGAAAATAGGTAGGAACTTATCTTGAATGTAGCAACTACTTTTATGGATAATCTTTAGTATAGCCTATATGACGGTCAAGAGAAATAGATACGCAGAGACTAACTACTATGAATTAGATTCGATAAGTGTTTATTAAGTCATTATCAATCAACTGTCCTTTATAAACGTAAGTACTAATGCGACTCACAAAAAACATTATGATATAGAATGTTGCCAAGATGAGAGATCCCAGAGAGAGATGGGAGAGAGAGAGAGAGAGAGAGAGAGGAGAGGGAGAGGGAGAGAGAGAAGATGATTACGATCTCATCGTATAAAAATGAGACCTAGGTCCTATAATACTTTATTTTATACTTAAGTTGCGGCGAAATACTACACCCGTAGCTCGTAGCGTGTAGTTCACAGATTGTAGAACGTAGTTCGTAGCGCGTAGTTTGTAACACGTAGCTCGTAGTACATACTGCGTAGAACGTAGCTCGTAGTACATTGTAGCGTAACTCGAAGGGCGTAGGTCGTAGCGCATACATCGTAGCGCGTAGCTCATACGTGGGCGTAGTTTCTAAAGTGTAGTTCGTAGCGCGTAGTACGTAGCTCGTAGCATATACTTTTGTAGCGATTAGTTCGTAGTAGAGTTCGTAACGCGTATATAGTACCGCGCAGTTCGTAACACGGAGTAACGGTTTCCCGGTAATAACCTCCCAGGCGTGCAAACCATGATATGAACTCAACTGGTGAGTGACTTGGACGTCATATTATTAGATATTGACTTAAACGAGTTGTACTTATCCATTCAATGTTTGTTACTTTTTTATTATACACCAGGTTTTGCAGTGTTAACCAGTAGTAAGTTAGTAACAAACAATGACATCATTTTGGCTAGGATACGCAATTTTTACTGAGGTGTAGAGTTATCTTTCTACGCGTTACGAGCTACGCTGTAGAATGTCACCGAAATTTTAGTTTAAATGAGGGCTTATGAATTTAGAGGTGGGCGAAAATTGAGTAGGTAATTTTTGACGGGGTCTATATGATATCGTCTTCTCAACGTGAAAATGTATTTTGTAGGATTACCTATAGTAAAATATAATTGCGATATTTAAACTGTCAAACACCAAGCGGTCACCGGTGACCGCAACCTATTGTTCTATAATTGTGTCTACAAAACCGGTACTCGACGAGTTAATACGCTCCTTAGATTGCGTATTTCGTTGTGTACCCGTTTTCATATTCCAATGTAATAACGTTCAATAGGATGAACTCAGGTAAAAGATTATAAAGTAATTCATACATAGTACAGGTACGGCCCAAGAGCCATAAGAAACTTGTGCTGAAGGACCTCTAAATAAAATCGACAGGTAGGTGCGAACATTGATCGTCACTTTTATCCTATTTATGTCACATGAATAAAATTAAAAGTTTGATTCAAAAAGAATTTAAATTTTATTTAATTATTAACTGTTATTTAATACCTTTTCAACCCTACCTACTCCTTATAGTAGAGTGCAAGTGCAATCGTGCAGACTGACAAAAATATTGAACAACATGAAAAACAAAACATTACTATTTATCCTCGAACGGTTATCTACAGATTATGTCATACATATCTACTTATATGAAAAGCCGCTAAAGTACTTACAGCAAAGTTAGTAGGTAGAGGTAGGCACTTACTCAGATACTGGTATTGCGGTATAGCATAAATTCAATCAATTCTTTAGCCGTAAATTACATTTTACAAACCACTGAACACAAATCCATAAAGGGCATTGATTAAAATTGGTGCCTTTCTTTTTTCTGGCGGCAGTCGATGATTTATGGAAAATATTATCTAGAATGACATTACAAACGAAATTGTCTATGGGCTTATATATGGAAATCTCAGTCTGGACTGAGTTATGAGCGTTGAAAGGAGCTGGAGTCAAACATTTTACTTCGGTTTTTTATTCAAATTATTCATAGTTTTGTCACAATTTTTAATTTCAAATTGCGCGCCACTGTACTCCGGGCA